CCCTACTCCACTTCAGTCTAAGTTGAAAAGTCCCTCTTCTAAGACTTCACCGTCTAGCATTGTCTTGTCAGAAATGACCTCCCATGTCCTGAGTGCCGCAGATGCCCTGTCTGGAAGGAACTGCGGCGGGGAGCCCTGGTGACTCAGCAGCCCGATGACATTTCTGCCTCCTGTCCTAGAGCACTGGCCTTGGTTCCCTTTGGCATGAAGCCCCTGCTGCGGCGAGCGTCAGCCTACGAGGCTCTGGAGCAGTACACCCTGGCCTACATGGACTACCTGACGGTGCTGCAGATTGATGACAGCGTGACGTCAGCCTTGGAAGGCAGCAGCAGGTGAGCCCGAGCCACTGTGGTCAGTCTCTCTGAGACGTCCTGTCCTCCCTGATTAGCTTGGAACCATTGCTTTGGTCGTCTTATGGGAGGATCCCTTTGGGCTAGGCTTAGAAACTCCTAATGAGCATGTGCAGAAAGTGTGGAAGGACAGTCTGCTGTTGTATTTTAGCAGGTTTTTAAGGGGTCAGAATTACTGAGTTGTGGGGTCTTGGGGTTTTTTGTGTGTTTTTTTGCCTAGATGCTCAAATGCATTCACACAGTTGTACTTAATTGAGCTCTGTTTAAGCCGGGTTCCGTGGGGAATACCGATATAAAAAAGAGACCGCACTTGCTCCAAAGAGCTAGCTAGAGTGGGGAAAGTAAGACACAGAACACGCAGCTGTCACCTCAGGCTGTAGGGCTATTGTTTGTGGATATGGTTCAGTATATTGTGCTGTGACCCCTTCACAAGGCCCGTCAGGTGAAATGTCTTTCTGGTCTTCTGAGCAGATGCCCTCATTTGGGTAACTGGTCATGTTTCCCCTCTTTGCATGGTCTGTTAGAAAGCCAGACAGCACACTAACAGAAACCCTGAACAGGACTCCATGGTATCTGTTTAGTGCATCCTTTCTGGCTTGACTTGTTTTCTCTCTGCTTCCTTTTAGTCTCTATCATTCAACAAAACCTGCCACTTACGTACCAGACTTTGCACTAGGGCCTGGCCTCTTCCTGCCTTAATAGAGCTCCTGGTCTCCAGGAGGATGGCAGTCAGTCATAGGCAAACCTGCAGTGTGATGAGTGCTGTGGTAGAAGGCACCTAACAGCCAGGGGGAGTCCAGAGAGGGCTTTCCAGAGAAGGTGAGCTGAGACAGAGAGATGAATAGTGCTCTGGGCCAGGGCCCAGCAAGGAGCACGGGCAGCGTGTGCGAGGTGGGTGAGTAGGAGGCGTTAGAGGGATTGCGAGAAGTCCACTGCTCATGGTGCTGCACGCAAGCGGCTCGGTTCAGGAGGGATGGTGAGGCCAGATCACACAGGGCCTTGTGTGCAGGGGCTTGGATTTAATCCAGACACAGTGAGGCATAGTGAAAGGGTCTTTAGCAGGGGGGGCAACATGAGCAGATTTGAGAGAAAAGCTGAGTGGCTGCCCGCTGTGTCGACCATGAAGGAGAACAGAACAGCAATGGGGCGGGCAGTAATCCAGAAGAGATGGTGGATAGAGAACAGTGGGACCAATTCAGGGGACACTCAGGGGGTATTTCAACAAGTGTTGGCAGTTGGAGGGTGGGGGGAAGGGAAGAAGAGAGGAGGCGTCCAGGTGGTTGACACCCTGAGTTGGAGGTGACTGTGGGGCGGAGACCAGAGAAGCAAGAAGCCGGCTGGGCATTCAGAGCAAAGGAGGAAAAATACGGGCCGAACATAGAGATCTGAAGGTCATCAGCATAGAGGCGGCTTGAGGTTGTGGGAAAAAAACAGCACCACAGCAAGTGTGTGGGGGGAAGAGGATGGAGTTTGAGGGATCCAACATTTGAGGGACGTACAGAGAACAGCAGCGGGAGCGGGAGGAGGACCCTAGAGCATTTAGTATCACGAAAGCAGGAGCGTGTCAGGGGATGAAGACGTCATTCGGATCAGGTGTTTCGATGAGCTTACGTAGACTCAGGGTTTAGGAATAAGTCACTGGTGATTCTGATGGAAGCAGTTCAATGGGATCCGAAGCCAAATGGCAGTGCGCTTAAGGAGCCTGGCTGGGAAGGGGCAGAGCAGTGTAGCTGCCGTGTCAGGGGTCCGTCCGGGAGGAGGGAGCTAGCTGCTGAGCGTTGGGGTCGGTAGAGAGAAAGGATGCAGGTGTGGGAGAGGGCGGTGCCGGCCGAGTGCGGCCCAAGAGAGGCAGGGAAAGATGGATCCCGAGCCGAGGTAGAGGGATTGGCCCTGTCAGCTCTTCTGTTTTGATGGGAGAGAAATAGGGATTGTTGTGTGCCCATGCAGGTAGGTTTGTGTTTAGGGTGTGAGGAAGTCCAAGGAGGAGGGTTAGAGAGCACGGCGGAGGAGGGTAGAGTTTGGAAGCAGCTGGGCCGATCAGAAAAACAGCTTTGGGGGCTTAGAGCCCCTGAGTATGTAGTGATATCAGTCTGTGAGCTCTTCATTCCAGTAACACAGGAACATTGTTGTAGGAGCAGAAGTTACAGTCAGCTTCATGTACTCACACAGCACCTACTTAATGGGCCCTTGTGGGTGCCAGGTGATGTGCCAGGTGCTGTAGATCAGTTAACAAAACCAGCATGGTCCCTGGGCCTAGAAGGTGGGAGCGGGGATGGGAAGTGGGGGAGATTCTTCTGGGGGGAGAGGGGAGAGCACGTGCAAAGGCTTGAGCGTGAGGACCGAGGCAGTGTGGCGCACGATAAAAACGGAGGGGTGGAAGGGCACCAGGTCTCAGGCCCTGCCAGCCTAGTGAAATGGGAACCACTGAAAGATTTTAAAATTTGAATGACATAAGATTTGCATTTTAAATAAAATCTCTGAACGTTAATCAAATGTCAGGTGTTTGCATCGCCTTGTAATAGATTCATTAAGCAAATATAAAACATGTGGTTCTTGGGGGGAGGGCATACATGGTCCCTTGGGGGTCAGGTTTAATTACCTTAGCAAGCACCAGATCATCCCTTTGAAGTTAACATAGCGTGACAAGCGAGGGCCAGGCAGGGAGGGAGTGTCGTGGTGGCCGACCTGAGAAGACGTATATGGTGGCAGGCTCCTGTTCCTTTCCTGCTGCGAGTCAGAAGGGTACAAGGAGATGGTTCAAACCAGGGGCAGATGATAACTGGCTCTCTTATACCTCCTTTGGGCTTACGAGAGGAGGAATATCTTCCTGACCCAGCTGGAAACCTCTCTGTGATCCTGCCTGCCTTTCCAGAATGACCAGAGCTCTTATGGACTCCTTTGGGCCCGAGTGGCGCCAGAAGCTGCCCTCTATCCCCTTGGTGCCTGTTTCCGCTCAGAAGAGGTGGGAGTGTTTGCCTTCGGGATACTGCAAAGAGACAGCTAAAAGCAAATCCAAAGAAACCACAGCTACGAAGAGCAGAGGTAAGCTGTGACTTCCAGCCCAGAGAGACTCCAGTCTCCCCAGAGCCACTTTCCTTAGAGTTATCCTGTAAAAATTGGCCTCGTGTAAGATGAGTTCTTTTTAAAATCCTATAAACAAAGTAAAAAACAAAACTAAAAGGCTTTAACCTCCTAGAGATTGTCTCCTCAGCTCTACAGTGGGCGATGAGAAAGCCTACCCCACAGGTGTAGGGATTAGGTGATGTGAGGCTCGTTGAACTCCCAGCCTGGTGCACAGGTATTCGGTGTTAGTTCCCTTCTCATTCCTCCGGCAGCATTTGGATGTATCATGTAGGATGTTTTTGGTTGAAAGAACAGAAAAACTTCATGTGGTAAAAATAATAAAGAGAACTTATTGGCCCATATAACTGAACGGCCTGGAGTTCAGGTTCAGGCATGGCTTGCTCCAGCAGCTCACTACATCATCAGACTCTGGCTCCACTTCTCTGCACTTCTGTCTGCGCTCTTCTCTAATGTGTATCGGCTTTGTCTGCAGGCAGTCTTCCCTCCAAAGTAGTACAATAGCTGTAGCAGTTCACCGACTCGCATCCATGTGCCATGCCTCATGACCCAGAGGGAGAGAAAGAGTTCTTTTTCTGATAGCTACCTAAGAGAGGGTTTCTTTCCCCCAAATCCCTAGCTCCTCTTTTCTTAATTCATTTTGGCCTTATGTGGTCACAGGCCATTCCCTACACTAGTCACTTTGACCAGGGCTTGAGATTTTGTGATGAGCTCAGCTCTATGCCATCTGCTCCACCTCCATAGCTAGAGGAACGCACACGCTGTATGAGTCCCTGGAGGAGGATGAGTAAGAGACGGGAGATCAAAGCCAGGTAGCCCCAAACAGGAGCCTGTCCACCTCAGCTCTGTATAAACAAGAGGCCCTTCTCTAGGCACGGGCAACTGGAAACTCTTAATAATATTCCAGGGGAGTCCTCCCAGCCCAGCAAGTGAGGTATTGAGGATGGGAGGTGCAGAGGAGGCGGGGCTGCAGCCTTGCATCGGGTGTACAGGAGGGCAGGAGTCGTTCCCCTTCCCAGGAGGAAACCTATCTGGCCGTGGGGAGAATTCCCTCCCTAGAACGAGAACGTGGGGCGCTAATGAACTCGATGCCTTCAGTGCACCTACCATTTACTTCATTCTTTTGTTGGAGTCACAGCCAGGTGTGTCCCAGGCCCGGTGCTGAGCAGTGTGGCCCAGAGAGGCCCTCGGGAAGCTCTCGGCCCAGTGAGAGACTGAGACGCATAAACAGAGCAATTTAAAATACAGGAGGAAGGCCAAAACATTAATGTGTCGAAACAGTCCTGAGAAGGAGACCACTGTAAAGACCCAGGTTTCAGGAAGGCGTGAGTATTGGGCAGGGAGTAGGAGGCATGAGTACTAGGAGGGAAGCCTAAGGGACTTCTTCTGAGATTAGAGTGACTTAGATAAACAAAGTGTACGGTAGGTAATAAAAATGTAGTGGTGGTTACTTTAAGAGATAGTTGAGGTTGAACTATAACCAGGTGTTTATTAATATCTGTGGCATGAATAGATCAATGAGCTTAAATGAATCCAGGCCCATGATACATCATCACCCACGTGTCTGTCACTTTAAAGAGTGCTCACCTCCCTATTGACTCATTTTGTTTGGTCCTGATAATGACAGAGTGACTCAGGCAGGGAAGGGATCACTCTCCTGACTGCACATATCGGGAAACCAAGGCCCAGGGAGGTGAAATAATACGTGGCATCATGGAAGGAACAGGGTTGGGCTTGGAGTCCAGAGTTCTCTGGGCTCTGCCCCTTGGAGCTCCTCCGCCTTTCCTGTGACACCATGGTGTGGAGAATTAAGGAACAGATCCCTATTGCTTAGTGTCTGATGTAGCACAGAGTAACCTTTCTCTGCACGGGCTGCCCCCGCAGGCCACATCAGAGATGCTCAGTAGAGGGACCACCGCCCAGCCTTGGCTGCTGCTTCTGTGTCTACACCCCTTCTTGCTGCAGCCTCAGCAGTATGGGTTGGCCTGCACTGTTGTGTAAGCTGTGGAGCCATCCCTCCTTTTCCTCCTCTATAAAAATGCTGGGTTGGCCTCTGGGGGTAACCTTGAAATGTAAGACTAATCTCCCCAAGTCTAAAAATGCAATAATCCCTCTCCCCTCACCAAACAATTTAACTTTTTAAAATCAGGAGGTATCTTATAATCAGTGTCAAAAGAAACTTGCCTGGGGTGCTTCCCTGGTGGCGCAGTGGTTGAGAGTCCGCCTGCTGATGCAGGGGATACGGGTTCGTGCCCCGGTCCGGGAAGATCCCACATGCTGCGTAGCGACTGGGCCCGTAAGCCATGGCCGCTGAGCCTGCGCGTCCGGAGCCTGTGCTCCGCAACGGGAGAGGCCACAACAGTGAGAGGCACGCATACCGCAAAAAAAAAAAAAAAAAAAAAAAAAAAAAACTAACCCCCCACCCCACTATTTTACCTTTAAATCATCCTTTTTCAATTCTGAGATAAAATGAAAGAATGAAAAGCATGAATATGAAATAA